GTTAAAACAAACCGGTATTTGAAATCTACTGATGGAAATTTTAGTTGCATTGTGGTATCATAGCGAGCCTTTATGACCAGACGTATTTATGTTTTCGCACTGCAGAAAATAAAATTAGAAGCCTTATAAATTTATTTCTCATTTAGGTGTTCATCTCGGTTCTAAATCTATACTAATATTATAAAGAACGGCAACGCGTTTGTGACTCCTGAGTTGCAGACGTTCATGGGCGGCTGACCCTTATAACATAAAAAAAAAATTTAAAAAAAATACAAAGTTTGTGAGTTTGTGTGTTCACGGTAATCACCAGTACTACTGATCCGATTTCAAAAATTCTTTCACTGTTTTTTTTAAATAATCTTTCTTCACATTTACAGTGTCTATTCGCCAAACTATTCTAATAAATTCTAGGCGTTCCGCTCAATTTATAATAAACTTAGTACTATTAAAAACAAAATACGAGTATATCCAAGAAATAAACAATACATAAATATGTATAACCTCACTATTTTTTGGTACCTGCTTCCTTATTTACGTATACGCTTTAATCTATTACCATATCCAAACATTTCTTTTGGTCTTAGTTTAAATTTACATTTCATTTTCTTATTCTCTCTTAGTATTTTGTAATTATTACATAACTTTGGTACTACTTACTTTCTGGTCCTTTCCCCATAATAATTATTTACTTTTGACTGCACGGATGGCGTAGTGGTTTAAGCGGTCGCCACGCCGCTTCCTACTACTACGCCGAGTGTTGTGGGTTCAAACCCCACATGGGACGACACTTTGTGTGATCCACAAATTGTTGTTCTGAGTCTGGGTGTTCTTTGTGTCCGTTTCATGTATGTTTGTAAAGTCCCCCGCGACACAGGATTTATTCCTAATGCGGGAGTTGTCTTTTTTAAAATCTGAATCTGAATCTGACTTTAAACTGCTCGAATTTTCTCTTCTTTATTTATCTAACGCTATAATTATATTATTTTCTTTATCTTAAATTCTTCACTATGATATGATTCTAGTGCTATTAAATATTTAACTTTTTCATTTACTGGCATGATCCCACATTCGGAAAATAACTTATTGTAGTCATCTTTTTACTTATTTTTAATTATTTTATCTACAATTTGTTTTTATAGGAGGCCTGTTAGAAAGCCATGTTGTGCCTGAGTGCTATATACTACTTTTCTATTCAAAAGCTAGTATTTTATAAAACGTAATGATTAGAAATAGAAAAAGTTCAAAATGCCGAATTATTTTAGATAAGAAAACTGTTTATGTCAGAAAATTGTATGCTCACGGAACGCCTCAATCAAAGTAACAACTTTTGCAAATGATTTTACGGCATATGGTTGTACTTACGTTTATTACGGGAAGCAAAACTAGTTTAGAGATGTTTACGAATTTATCAAAGCGTCCTGTCGTGCCAGTGTCAGGTGTCTGACAGCTTGTTACTAATCGGGCGGCCTCGAAATATACACGTGAACATGTAAACTACAATTTGATAATACTATTGTTTGAACTAGCAAAATGGGAATAAAATTTAAAAGTATCTCTAACTAAAGTAAAGTAAACTAAAGTATCTGGGCCTCAATTCTGCTATTTTAGGTTCACGCCAAGCCACTGTCATTGAGATGCCATCGAGTGGCCATTGACTTCGGTATAAATATCGGTAGTCTACACTAACTAAACAACAACAAAAACAGCAACGATAATTCTATTTAATAATTTTATTTAACGATTTATTGATTTAATGAAATATTTTTTAGAGTCAAAGACATAGAGAGGGGAATAGTTGGCTGTACCAGGGACTTCCTTTCTAGGGTATACATGGTTCCCCGGCTATTAGTACCCGAGACGATTTCCGCCCGGAAAATAAAAGAGGAATAGTTGGCTAATGAAATGAACTTAAAAACTTTATTTATTTAATGCTTTGGAATAAAAACTGCGAAAAGATAGAAAAGAGGAAGTTAAAATCGTATTTCAAGTGATAATAAACGTCCAGGGTGAAAAGAAAACCAGATTCTGTTTGTTTCTTGGTGTATTTGCAAATGGAGAATTATTAAAACAGAAATCAAATCATTGCAAATATTTACAGTAGTTACAAATTACCATTTTGACATTATAGAGGAATTTCTGTATTTATATATGTTGTATTAATTTAAGTCCGTGTGGTGACGGATTAAGAATACACCACCCCACTTCATCCCGTGGGTGTCGTAAGAGCCGACTAAGGGAGCAAACTAAGCAGGACATCAGCACTGCAAAGAGAAGGAAAACTTGAAACAAACCCTATACCAACCCGTCTGGCCAGCGTGGTATAGTAGGCCAAAACCTCCTTTCTAAGGAGAGGCCTATGTCCAGCAGTGGACTAGTATAGGCTGTTGATGATGATGATGAATTTAAGCGTATTAATTGTATGTATACTGTAAACAAATGTAGTAACCTTATATTTATTTAACTACTAGCTGACTCGTTCAACTTCGTCAGCGTCTTTTAAAAGGAATAAATTTGCCCCGTTTTTGCAACATTCTTCATTGGTGCTCCGCTCCTATTGGTCTTAGCGTGATGATATATAGCCTATAGCCTTCGTCGATAAATGGGTTATCTAACATTGAAAGATTTTTTCAAATCGGACCAGTAGTTTCCTGAGATTAGCGCGTTCAAACAAACAAACAAACTCTTCAGCTTTATAATATTAGTATAGATGTACAAATAATACTGCAGTGGTGTATAATAAATAGATAAATAAATAAAATCATCAACTTGTTAATTTAAAAAAAGCAATTTCTTTTATGGGGTATTTTTAAATTGAACTTCTTTAGACGCGTTCAGCATTTTTGAACAACAAACAAAAGAACGTATTTATTGACATGGGAAAGAACCATTGAACTCGCGACACTGTTACCGTTACCTACACCTCTGTATATAAGTACCTACATATTAGAGTTTACTCCTTAAGAAGGATTCGGCTGCATACAAGTATACAAGTTATATACATACATACTTCTACACTACTATACTTCGTACATAATGGAGTTTTAAGGAGTAAAGTCTATTTTTTTTTAAATATAACTGAACACATTTAATTAAAGAAAGAATTCTTAAAATCAGTTTAGAATTGGCGAGAATACAGATTAAATACACACCGGTACAAGGAGGCAGTCGACTTTAATTCTCTTTGAACGTAGTTTAAGAATTCTAAATAAAAATTGAAACAATCAGCAACCTAATACTTTGGTACGCCTTTGTATAAATCAGGAAAATATAAAAAGTAGAAACGAGTAATAAAACCTGCCTTCCGACATGCATGAAGACTGCCACACTAGCTTTTACGCAAGCACAACCCAATGACAACTCACAACAACAATACCTGTCGTGTGTGTAAAGAAATATGTATATCGGATGACAAATTTTATACAAAATGTTTAGCCTCCTCCAACAAGACATCTGATTCCCGTCCATCACACGGCAGATGGGTTGGAATGGCAGGAACAAAGTCAACATTCTGCTACTTCATCAATCATCAACAGTCTTTAATGGTCCACTGCTGGACATAGGCCTCTCCTTAGACAGGAGGTTTTGGCCTACTATACCACGCTGGCTAGACGGGTTGGTATAGAGTTTATTTCAAGTTTTCCTTCTTTTTGCAGTGCTGTTGTCCTGCGTAGTTTGCTCCCTTAGTCGGCTTAAGTACCTATATATAACTCTTTTTATAAGTTGGTAGAAATAAATATGTAATTGTGTAAATTCAACTGACTTTTTTAAACGGACATTGGTCGGGCCCGAACCGGTACGAGGACCGAGTTGACCACGATTGAGGCGCCAGGGGGTGGACCACGACGGGGCCCATGAAATAACAGGGCCTCCGTCTTATCTAGGGCCACCCGTAAGCCCAGCGCCTCAATGCGCCCGACCACCAGGGAGACTCCCCCTGTGGCCAGGCGTGCCGCCTCTTGGAAGTTTGCCCCTATACACCCTATGCCAACCCGTCTGGCCAGCCCGTCTGGTATAGTAGGCCAAAACCTCCTTTGTAAGGAGAGGCCTATGTCCAGCAGAGGACTACTAAAGACTGTTAATGTGATGAATGATGTGATATGTACTTAACTATTCGATGATAGGAATTCGTTTTCCGGATAGGTCAGAATCATTCCACTAATAAAAGAAAACCCAGAAGTTATTAAATATACTTTTCTAAGAATGTACTAAACTTTGCATAGCAATTAGTCATGAAAATCGAAATTGACAGAAGTCCATAAAAGAGGCCCACAATATGACAAATCCTTGTGGCTTGTTTCATATGTCTTATTTGAGACTTGAGTTTTTCCTTATGTTGCCTGTTGATCATAAAAGACACCAATCTAAAACCATTTGCAATATTACAAGTGCCGACCACAAATGTAATGACTGCATGGCTGGTGTAGTGGTTTAGCAGAAGCCACGCCGCTTACTACTACGCTGTATTGTTGTGGGCTCGATACCCAGATGGGACGACACTTTGTGCGATCCATAAATTGTTGTTCTGAGTCTGGGTGTTCTGTGTGTCCGTTTCATGTATTTTTGTAAAAGTCCCTCGCGACACAGGATATATTCCTAATGGGAGTAGTCTTTTTAAATAAAAAAATGGCAGGCTAACAAAAAAAAAGATCTATAAATAAAAATACCTATTGTTCATAACAATGATGTCAAAAATTTAAAGCCAAGAAATATCCCAACGCCTTATCAATGAGAAACCATATCACTATCTTTACCTAAAATAAACATTTACACTTGAAGTGATATCTTAAAACGCCATCTGGAAGTCTATAAATAACAAATTATGTACAAACATTATCTTGAATTTCAAGGACGACGTTTGGTATAGACGCTGGACGCAAATTGTGTGTTTTGCTTTGTTTAGTCTGCGACTGGACACACGCGCGCTCGTACTATTCGTAACGTAAAACCAGTTTTTATAAATTAATTGTCATTTTTTACAAATTAATTTCTTGTGGTATAAGTTTGATAGTATTAAGGATATTTTTAGAGGTAAGTACTTATCAAAGATATCATGGTTTTTATAGAATATGTATTTTTGAATACATTTCGTTAATGTACATATAGCTGCGTAGAGGTAAAGGAGGAAGTTGTGGTACTTTTTTGTAACAAACACGTATAACATAACATTATATTATTACGCGATTAAGTTAATGAGGGTATTCACAGTAAACAAGTAAAATATAACTCCTACTGAGTTAATTCATCTTTATTATGAACGTAAACAAATTATACTTAGCTGTCCAATTATCTTTATTAATCTTTCGATGTTTTTCTAAATAAATTTTGTGTAAATGTTTACAGAGATAAAATATATCTAATTTAAACTTCTATTGTAATGGAACTATCGCAATTTCTAAGTAATGTGTTCCAAATAGACGATCGCTTAAAATCAGTCAAAAGTGTGACGTAGTATTTAATGTAGTAAATGTGAAATCAAAAACTTCCTAACAAGTGAATAATTATACATATGTTGATCAATCTATTTAGATGACTAAAGTGTAAGACTATATACCAATACAGCCGGACACCAGTAGGTTTCGCCGCGGTTTTTCGAGCGGCTGGGAGCCAGACCGAAAATGTGTAACAAGATTTTTTTCCGACACTAGCATACGTCTACCAAAAAGCGAAAGGAACTTCGTTCCGATCGGAGTTCCTCACGACGTTTTTTGAGTAATGGGACTTTACAAATGAACAGTTAGACTAAGGTTCTGTTCACCGCTTCGGCGCAAATGGTACTTACTACCACGGTGATGCCATATCCTCACAGAAAACCAATGTTTAGTAATTCTTTTATTGCTTTCGACCGAATTAGTGAGGTTACCAGAGCCTAAACCTCACCTCCCCCCGATTTTAGGGCTATAAATGCCCTATTTAAGGGCTATAATCGAGATTAGACTGAGTACAATTAGGTCACCGTTTGGCGCTTAATCAATTTAAGAATACAATCCAATGCTTATAAGGTTCATCTTATAATTACAAGGTCATAAGAATTAAATACTTATGAGTCACGTTCTTGCCAGCAATAATGATGTTAGGAGTATCTAGCGAATGCTTGTCATTAACAATCTATTTATAAACACTGTAAAAAAAAATATGAACTAAGGGTACCGCTATAGGTATTCTGAGATACATTGTCGATTCTATGATCATCATCAGCCTATCGCAGTCCACTGCTGAACATAGACATCTCCCATTGCAAGCCACTTAGATCGATTTTGGGTGTCTCGCATGCAGCTCCTGCCAGCCATCTTGCGCAAATCGTCACTTAACCTGGCCTGTGGGCGTCCTAAACTACGTTTATTCTATGATAGTATTATATAAATATACTTAGGTATATAGAACACTTTAAGCGGAAAATAGGCACCATAGATTTGTTAGACATAAGTTTTTCTAAATACATTTGATAAATAAAAAAAAAGAAGAAAATAAAATTAATTTATTATGGTTTCGCTATTAGTGCGTTTTAATCGGTATCAGCCAATGGGCGTAATTTGTTTTTTTTTGCGATCAAAGTGTTACATATACGAATATTAAAGTTACTCAAAACTTGTTATAAGATAAAAAATACCAATCAAATCATCAGTGTGTGTTTGAATTTGTTATTCTTGATGAACGATAATTTATTGAAACTATTTGTTTCTAACATTGTTAATTCAATAATGTCAAAGATTATGCTTAAAATAATTAAAATTGATTACTTTTTTTTCAGATCATGGTATTTCTACTCTGGATTATTTTAATCTTCATAGCCCTTTTATTGTATAATCGAGAAATATATTCAAGGTTTAGAAGACATGGTGTAAAATACTTCCAACCACTGCCGTTGTTGGGCAACCTTGGAAGCATACTCATGAGGAAACAACACATTACTGATCAACTTGATGATTTGTATTACAAATTTTCTGGTGAAAGGTGATGACCATGTGAACTATATTTACACATAGTCTATAAGTAACTGTCAAGAAGAGACCACTAAGGGAGCAAATTACGCAGGACAAAAGCACTGCAAAGAGAAGGAAAGTTAGTAATAGTTGGTCAAAACCTCCTTTCTAAGGAGAGGGCTATGTCCAGCAGTGCACTAGTAAAAGCTGTTGATGATGATGATTATATTATCAGGGCAACCTCTTTTCTAAGGATGCTGATGATGAGGATGACCTGGAAAGTAGTGGCTCCACGGTTCCTAGTTGATAAATTTATCTATTATAAGAACTTTAATTACCGATTCAGGATTATTAGTAACCGATTTAGAAATTTGTTGTTTGTAGTATGTACTTGTAGCTGTACTCTTATTGTAGATTTAATAAGATTAAAATATATTTTTTTACAGATTTGTAGGCCGATTTGAATTCACGAATCCTGTTTTATACATTCGCGATCTCGAGCTAATAAAAAAAATCACAGTCAAAGATTTTGAACACTTTCTCGATCACCGTATAATGATAGATGAAAAAATGGATCCACTGTTTGGAAGGAATCTGTTAAGCTTAAAAGGTACGAACCTAATTTCAAAGTGAAAAAAAAAAAGACAAAGCAAACCAAAACTAAAAGCTTCGGCTCGAATGGGCCGGCTTGTCCGGAGTGATACTACGGCCTCACAGAAAACGTGTTAAGCAATTCTTTCGTTGCCTTTCACTGAGTGAGTGAGGTTGCCGGAGCCCAAATCCCCCATCACCCTAACTCGAGCGTGAGGGACTTCAAGGGTAACAACGGACTTGTGACTTTCGAGTTGCAGCGGTAGTTGTTTACCATCAGGTGACTCTTCTGCTCGTTTGCCCCCTCATACCATAAAAAAAGAGTTGATTATATGCGACTTTGACTTGCTCGAACTATTCCTCACATTAGCCAATTACATCTACCACTGTCTTCCTTTCTTGTCTTTTTTTCCTTTCGAAATATCATTATCCCATCCTATTCGTAAAGTGCTCGGTTAATGGCAATAATCCGTATGGTGACGGATTAAGAATACAGAGTGTTACCCCTATTCATCCCGTGGGTGTAGTAAGAGCCGACTAAGGGCGGCTAAGGGGACAAATTACGCAGCACAACAGCACTGAAAAGAGAAGGAAAACTTAACACAAGCCCTTTGCCAACCCGTCTATCCAGCGTGGTATAGTAGGCCAAAACCTCCTTTCTAAAGAGAGGCCTATGTCCAGCAGTGGACTATTAAAGGCTGATGATGATGATGAACGGCAATAAGCTTGCCTCCAATTACGTAATTGAAACTAAAACTAAAGTATAAAAATACTGGATTTTGCATACTACGTTTATCTCTGCGCAACCATTCGAAGTTTAAAACTAGAATAGCTGTAATAATGCTACAAACATTAAAAACAGGTCAAGAGTGGAAGGATATGCGCTCAACACTGAGTCCGGCGTTTACTAGCTCAAAAATGAGACTGATGGTTCCCTTTATGGTGGAAGTCAGTGATTTAATGACGCAATCTCTAAAAGCACAAATCAAGGATTCAGGAGGTAATAGAAAATATATTTGTCAACATTTAATAATAAGTTTTAAGTTTTTTTAGTTATTATTTCTTTCTTTTCTTTTGTTCCAGTCGACTACATTGATGTAGACTGCGTCGATCTCACTGCCCGATACGCTAATGACGTAATCGCTTCATGCGCCTTCGGTTTGAAGGTGGATTCACATAGTGACGTCAACAATGAGTTTTATACCATTGGTAGAGAAACCGCTACTACCGGGTTTCAAAGAGTACTAGTGTTTCTTGGGTATTCAGCATTTCCATTGTTAATGAGAGTGAGTGACAATATTTCAAACTCATTGAACATACTACATGGCTTAAAGATAGCTTTATTCTATGAGGTCTTATAAAATTACAACATGGAATTCTTACTGACTTGAAAGTATTCCGACTACTCCGCAGTACCACTAAAAGCTTCGTATAGTATTATGGATAATTAATATTTAGAAACATGAGCTATACTCTTCTTTCAGACACTGGGAATAAAATTATTTACTGATAAGATAAGTAATTTCTTCAGAAATATTATTCTACAAACAATGAAAGAACGAGAGTTGAAAAAAATTTTGAGGCCGGACATGATACACCTTCTAATGGAAGCAAAGAAAGGTAAGCAGAAAATGTATACACGGTGACAGACAGTACACTTTTTTTTCTGTGCGCAACGGATACCACCACCTGGTGGGTGACCATGTCCTACTCAAACCGACCAAAAACCACACGCCGTCTCCAAGTACCAGAAGCCGGGGAACCAGGTATACCCTAGAAAGGAAAGCCCTGGTACTCCGACGTACCTCGGGCCATCTACGGCTTATAGATGACCCTCTACTATGTAGGAACCCGGAAGTTCCCTTTTCACTTCGTACCCACCAAAGCCTGCTTCTGCTAAAGTGACCTCACCTGTCACCGAACAGGCCTGCGTTTATGGACACTAAACTCCAGTTTTAATTGATATTCTTTTCGGTGTATAAAGTACAAAACATTTGCAGGAAAACTTACATACGATGAGACGCGGAAAGAAGTTGATGCCGGTTTTGCTACAGTTGAAGAGTCACTCGTTGGACAGAGGAAAGTAAATCGAGGTTTGTACTTATTAGGAAAACTAAAGATAAAAATAACGAAAGCTAAACTAAAATTAAATGCTATTACCTTTTTATTTGCTCCGTGGTTATTTCTAATAGTTCTGATAAATTTTAAACCTAATAATTTAAAACGAATATATCCGTGTCCTCAATTCGGTAGTGTTATTTTTTATGTTTTTGCTATCTCAGATCTCCGTAATTTATAGACCGATTTTGCAAGATTTTTTTTAAATATGTTCCATTTGTTTATATTAAAAAAAAATCTACAAGGGTGGAAAGTTAAGAAATGAAGAATACAGTTTATCATCTAATATATAAAATTCTCTTGTCACGGTGTGCGTGGTTGAACTCTTCCGAAACGGCTTGACCGATTTTCGTGAAATTTTGTGTGCATATCGGGTAGGTCTGAGAATCGGCCAACATCTGTTTTTCATACCTCTATTTTTTTGACAATTTATTTTTAAGTAATGTATATAGCACAACAACGTTTGCCGGGTCAGCTAGTTATCACATAAGTTCATTGAAGTCAGTGACAATCTTTTACAACTTAATTACAAGCAAATTGCTTATTTTTCTGTTTATACTGAAAAAACAAATACCAACCGAATATAATTATGTATGTTCCTAATCATCAGACACACATTAACTTATCACTAACATACTACTTGAAATTTCAGAATGGAGTGATGATGATTTGGTTGCCCAAGCAGTGCTATTTTTCTTAGCAGGATTTGATACCGTGTCCACAGCTATGTCATTCCTTTTGTATGAGCTCGCTTGTAACCCAGACATACAAGAACGTCTGGTGCAAGAGATTAAGGAAAATGATATTAAAACGGAAGGGAAAATTGACTTCAATTCGGTACAAAACATGGTATATCTGGACATGGTGGTATCAGGTAATGTTTCTGACAGCTGGGCAGCTAAGGTTGATGAAATATAATGGATAATGTTGGATAACATTCTCGAGAAAGTTAAGATATTGAAACGACGTTGTTTACGACGCTTTCTAACTTACAGGGAGAAATCGTATGACAAAATTCTCGAAAAGGCAGAGAGAAATTTATACAAGTGTCTATATATAATTTGCTATGACCATAGTCTTTATTTGAATTTTGTATATGTGTGGTGAGAAATAGGTAATCTACAAAAAAAAATGGTATGTCATTTCTATAAAAGGTTTTTTTTTTTTTGTAGAAATATTAAGACGATGGTCACCTGGTTTAGGCCTGGATAGGCTTTGTGTAAAAGACTACAATATGGGCAAACCAAACGAAACATCAAAAGAAGATTATATAGTAAGTTTTATGTCAAAATTATGTTGGAATAAATTAAAACTAAAAGCATAGTCTCTAATCACATGCATTTTTTCATATTTTACGAAAAGTATAAGAGTTTTAATTTGTAAATTTTAATAACTTTGACTGCACGGATGGCGTAGTGGTTTAAGCGGTCCCCACGCCACTTACTACTACGCTGAGTGTTCTGGGTTCGACCCCCACATGGGACGACACTTTGTGTGATCCACAAATTGTTGTTCTGAGTCTGGGTATTATTTGTGTCCGTTTCATGCATGTTTGTAAAGTTCCCCGCGACACAGGATATATTCCTAATACGGGAGTTGTCTTTTCAAAATATTAAATAGTAGCAACGATTATGTTTTGTTTTATTTATCAAGTCTATTGAGACCGTAACCGCTTCTTAGTAGAGCTTGTAATCCTTCTATAATACATTTTTTATTCAACTACTTATATAAATTGGGAAAGGTTTTCTTTTATAGGTTCGTAAAGGTGAATCAATGCTAATACCAGTGTGGTCCATTCACCATGATCCTGAATTTTATCCTAACCCCAACAAATTTGACCCGGAACGTTTTGCTGAAGAAAATAAGAGGAAAATCAAACCCTTTACGTTTATACCTTTCGGATTAGGACCAAGGAATTGTATTGGTGGGTATCAATTAGCTACTAAGAAATTAGTCAGAAGGTATTATTTGGCAGAAATCGAACTAGTTACTGGAACCACTCAACTGGCCAAACATCTTAGTCTTACAGGAGATTATTGGATTGTTTATTTGAATTTTTGTCAGACTTTTTTGCATTACATGTTTGAAATTTTCGACGACTCGATTGTGTAAATATAAGTCAATTAAGCAACAGCCTTTTATAGTCCACTGCTGGACATAGGCCTCTCCTTAGAAAGGAGGTTTTGGCCTACTATGCCACGCTGGCCAGACGGTTTGGTTTAGGGTTAAAAAAAGAAATCATTTCTGCCTAATTTAAGCTATTATTCTATTTCCGTGTGGTGACTGATTAAGAATATGTAATGTCACCACCCCCTATTCATTCCGTGGGTGTCGTAAAAGTCGACTAAGGGAGAAAACTACGCTAGACAAAAGCACAGCAAAGAGAAGGAAAACTTGAAACAAACACTATACCAACCCGCCTGGCCAGCGTGGTATAGTAGGCCAAAACCTCCTTTCAGGGGAGAAGCCTATGTCTAGCAGTGGATTATTATAGGCTGTTGATGTGATTCTATTTCATATCAAATAATTTCAATAATAAGCTCGCTCACTATTTTAATATTTTAGAATTGACATAACGTTCGTATTTAACACGCATTTGCCAATCCTTCCGGAACGCAGGTGAATGTGTATATACCATCACTGGAAACAACCACTTACGATAAAAATTGAGACCTTTTTATGTAAAACCTATTATTTTTGATGCCCCAGGGTCAAGATTTGCTTTGTGTGAGATCAAAGTAATGGTATATCGGCTGCTACAACAGATGGAATTATCTCCGTGTGCTAAAACACAGATACCTGCTGTATTATCCATGGATACGTTCAACTTGAGGATCAAGGGTGGAAACTGGGTGCGATTTAGAACGAGACAGTGAAAAAATACGATGACAATATCGCTTATTAGGTTAGCTGCAGTAATTCTTTGCACAAATTTTTATATAGTATTTTGACAAAGCGAACTGTTCCTTCGGTGACTTTGTGTTTGTTAATTTAGTTATTATATAAAACGAAAACTGATATGTATCAGTTTATATTAAATTTGCAACCGTTGAACCATTTATTTTTATACTAAATCTTTGTTTTATTTGTAAATCAAAACTTTCCGGCCCTACCTTCCTCTACTTGATTGAAGTTGTTGTAAAACACGGGAAAACTTAAAAAGTTGAACCTTACTGTTGTACCTTAAATTTTAAGTTCATAATTTTCAATCGAAATAAATACGTAAATTAGTAGGCAATATATAAAAATGACGGTGGATGGATGGATGGATGATATAAAATGAAATCTAATGATCACACTACTATAGGAATGCTGTGGCAACTTCCACATACAACAAAAACATGTTTTGACTGCTCAGGTGGGGCAGTGGTAGTGTATGCGACTGCTGTGCTGAGGTCTCGATCTCGATTCCCGGGTGGGACCACATATTTGTTTCGGAGTTAGGGCTGTTTTCTATGTAAAATATAAAAAAAATATATTTCAGTATTCTATTAATCAATCTAGCTTTTATAGTACAAGCTCTGCTTAGTTTGAAACTAGATGGCGGTGTTTCACAATCAGATGCCCGAAATATTATTATTATTATACTTCAAAACCCTCTAACGACGACACGCCGAACTACGGAGCTAATCATGAATCGCGCAATGTCATCTATTATTTAAGCACGCCAAATATATGTCGGAGAGGCAATCGGTTGAATGGCGACTGGGCTCTGAGCCTTGGAGTGGTACATAGCCCCCTCGTTTCCGACCGACCGAATTGACCGAGTGATATGGGGGTGGGGCATTTTTTTTTAACGAAAATATTTGGTTTTGGATAAATATTTGGTTGCTTGAAAGCTAATACCCTCATTTTTCAATAAAAACGTTTTGCCATCCAAAGCATGCCGTTTTCGCACTAGCGAAAAAAAAAAAACAAGAAATTTTTGAGGCAACCGTTTAAAAATTGGTGAGCATACTTATTAACACCACCGAACTTCAGCAAAAAATTGCCATCCGATCCTGATGGGCAGTTTCGGAGAAACAACCCTTCAAACTCTTTTTTTTTTCAATTTATTCAACAATAATTAAACAAATACTGTTTAAATCAGATGGATCGATATTTGAACTGATATAATTACAAATGAAGGTGTGTATTAATGCCATCCGATTTTACTTGACCCGTCTGCTTGTCCGTCATAAAAAAAAAAAAAATCACCCCTACTTCGCCACCCCAAAATCTCATTAAAATTACAATAATGACACACGCTACTCATAATTCTAACGAATAACCATGACTTTGCTTCCATTGTTTAGGGCTTATAATAAAATCTAATTGTTTATAAAGAGTTTCAAAAATATTGTGTAGTGACGACCGAATGGCGTAGTGGTTTGTGTAACGGACTGCTGTTCTAAAGGTCACGGGTTCGATTCCCGCTCAAGTCCAACATTTGTGTACATGAACTTTTAATGTTTGATTTGGTCTGGGTGTTTCTATGTATAATATGTATATATTTACAAAAAAAAGTATATATGTATTTATATCAGTTGTCTAGTACCCATAGTACAAGCTCTGCTTAGTTTGGGACTAGATAGCGTTGAGTGAATGTGGTACAATATTATTATTATTATTAGTGTATCACCAAAAAGAGAAAAAAAAACATAATTAAAAAACATTTCTCGTAACATAACTGTTTTTCGTCTACTCATCTCACACACACAGAGTGTTAGTACGTTCTTCGTAATATGTGTAATTTAAGCTCCGGAACAGCGCTTATAACTTTCTATCCGCTGAGAGTAATTTCCCAAGCAATTTGCATTTTGTTTTATAGAAATAAGTAAAGTTAAGTCGGGCATGTGTAATAATTGAATATTTGCGTGTTAATTATTAATTTAATCATTTAAAAAAAAAAGACGTAACCTATACCAAGTTGCTTCTTGGACTCAGACATTGTAAAAATTACTTTCTGTAAATAATGAATTTAGTTTGTATTCAAAAAACCAAAATAGATTATAAAAATTATGACGTTAAGTAGAAAAAATAACAGCAGCAAAGTATTATTAAAATTGATTATTTATTGATTAACTGCCAAACGGTTGAAACGCCCTACTTACAAGATTATTATCCCGGCTATGTGACAAAAACTTACCCAGCACAAGATAAAGTTTTGGTACTTGCCTAATCCCTGAACTTTTTAGGTAGAAACTTAAAATATTTATCTTAAGTTTTTGTATACGGGCTTAATAATACAAAATTAAAACATTCCATAAGGTGCTACAACTGAAATAAAAATACTAAAGCAAGAAGCTAGAATAGTTCTGGATTGTTTCTTTTATAGCCATCCAAGAATGTAAATTGGATTTAGGAAAACGGACAAGATGAGATAGGAAACAAAAATTAAGGTATAATAATATTAGATTTTAATTTATTGGATGCTTCGACAACTCTTACAGAAAAATTGAAAGCAATCAGACACTATGAATATTCTGAAATACAGAGACATAGCTCAGTTGTAATTAAAGAGTCTGTACAGACCAGTATACTCATTCTAATCCGTTCTATTTACTTGTGATACTCAATTATATTGTCGTCAAACGACCTCATTCGAAATATCCCAACGTCAAGCAGCATCTTGACGTGAAGAGAAAGATGCCACAAAAAGATGTCTGCGTTCACATTACATTTCTCTGTATTCAAATGAGGTCCTAAAAAAGTGTCTCGAGTATGTTGCGTCACAAGTTACGAAGCTCATTATGTGGATGACAATATATTTTATTCTAGTATATTTTTGGAAATGTTCACGTTTTGTCTGATGTTGATTTGATGGCGACGATTGAGCGAATGTCAGAGTTGATGGAAAATATATACGATCTTGTACTGGAATGTAAATATTAACATTCTTTTGTTCAATATTAACAAGAAATTAAAATATTGAGTATTGAACTAAAAAGCAAAGTCATCGATATTGTTTTTACTTAAATACACAAAATGGTCGATGGTTATACTAATATTCATCATTCAATAACGGCTGAGATTCATCCCGTGACGACAAAGCGTCTTTCAGAAATCATTAATCCGGGTTTCAATGTAGCTAATATACATATATCTATGTAAGGTGGGATTAGCGATAGCAGAATATTATTTATTTTACGAGTATTTCAACAAAACAAATTAGCATCCATTGAGATAATTGCTTTAGAGAATGCGTGGCAAGTGCAGTACTACTTGTGATGCAAATAAAACCTCCTATATATTTATACAACAATTAATTAATTAGTATTAATTCATTGTTTCATTCATTCATTATTCTTTTAGTAGTGGTTGCGTAGTGGTTTTGCATAACGAACTGCTACGTCAAAGGTCGTGGGTTCAATTTCAGCTCAAGTCAGACATTCGTGTTTATGAACATTTAATGTTTGATTTGGTCTGGGTGTTTTATGTATTATATGCATGTATTTATAAAAAAAAAAATATGTTTAAATCAGTTGTCTAATACCCATAGTACAAGCTCTGCTTAGTTTGGAACTAGATGGCGTTGTATGAATGTGGTAGATTATTATTATTATCCTGTTGGTGCACTACCACGCGATCTTTTGCCTGCATTTTTCCCAACTACAGTAAGTTATTCCAAATTTCCATCGTCTCTGCGCACTGTGTGGCCCAAATCTGAAAGTATGCGCGATTGGCAAATGATGGGCAAGCGAGTTTTAATTCGGAGGTAGACCTGAATCAATGGATTTGTGTGTTTCTCAGTTCAAATATTCTTAACATTCGTCTTCACCCAAATTTTTGAACTCTTCGAAACTTTCAACCAAAAATTGAGAATGTTATCACCACTGAAGATTTCCACTATCAACCCCTGGCTCTATTATCAGATCATCTTCAAGATATCAAAATGTATATTTTTTATCCAAACTACATAACTAGTGTAAATTCGACATGATAATAAAAATTAGGTTATTTACTCCAAGATTTGTAGACCTGATTCATTTGATGTATGGAGTATTCGAGTTTGTCTTCCAACTGCCAGAATTGACTGACAGGATATATTCCTAATGCTTCTCTTTAAAAAATAAAAAAAAGATATATTCCTAATGCGGGCGTTCTCTTAAAAAAAAAACTCAATGGAAAGTGATGATAAAGTCCAAGACAATTCATGTTTTTCTAAAACAAAGTTATTCACTACCTTTAACATACCTCAAAATTATCAGAAACTATAATATTATATTAAAATAAGAAATTATCAAAAACGCCAGAGATCGTGGGTTCGATTCCCAATCAGGACAAATAAATAATTGTGTGATGAGCTTGATCATTTGTTCTGTGTCAGGATGTACTTTATATATAATATGTATGTATTTAGAAATATATAAGTACGTTCATCAGTAGTCTGGTTACCATAGTACAGGCTCTGCCTAGTGTGGGATCAGACGGTCGTGTGTGAAATGTGTGAAAATATTATTATCAGATCTGGAAAAACAGATGCAGGCATTCCAAACCTTAGTCCCACTATTTGGTGTAATGACAATGAAAGAATGGTGTATTTTCTACGTTTCGTAGTCTGATAAAGAAATGGTGAGCACTATTCTTATTTAAGAAAAACTTTGCAAAAGCTCAAAGTGTCCCACCAAAAATAAATGTATATCAAACAAATAAACTTCTAAGAACCTTAGAAACATTTCATTTTTTGCACCAAAGATTTGTTTGGAATCTGTTATGAGACATATATTGTTCTGATTTCGGTTAATTTTTTCCCCATTTGATTCCCATCATTTCCGCTTGGGTGAAACAATTTATCGTCTGTGAAAAAGATAAGACATTGAATAAGATATTCGTATGGTTTTGTTCTTTTATAGAAAGGTTAGAATTGGTATTGACGAATTGTTGCCGAACATTA